CTAATTTTAAAGTTCTAATTTTTAAACTGCAGAAAAGGGCTGCTCACAAATGCCATATGCATAAGCTTGGTCCCTGTCACAAATGGTTAAGAACCCCTGTTGTGCACCCTATATACTTGTAAAAAGGAAGGCTTTGCCAGAATAGTTTACAATCTAGCCATACATCTGCCTATAGTTCAGCAGGGTTTATTTACAATCGCTCTAAACTTGGAGCAGTCACCATGAGAACCAGTGGAATTTTCCTGTTGAATGCTTCACTTTTTAGAACTTTTCTTCAGTTACTTTTTATAATTTGCTCCCCACCAACCCTCACAATTATTAAAACCCCTAAAAAGAAACCTATAAATTATGCATGGGTTGTTGACCAAAGAAGATACATTTCATATTTAAAGGGAAATACTAAACACCAAAGCAACTACATCCTAATGTAGTGGTTTTGGTACACTGATGCTGTGTACAACGTAATGCATTACAGATTGTAAGAAATAGCAACATTTTAATTTGTCTGAAAACTCACATCTAGTGGCTGTCAGACACCCACAAGAGACACCACCTCCTTAAAGGACCACTATAGGCACCCAGACCATTTCAGCTCAATGAAGTGGTCTGGGTGCCAGGTCCCCCCTAGTTTTAGCCCTGCAGCTGAAAACATATGTTTACTTCAGGGTTAATCCAATGTCTAGTGGCTGTCTCCGCGATTTACACTGAGTAAATCACACTTATTTGACACTGGACATCCTCACGGACCTCCAGCATCAATTAAGATCCCCATAGGAAAGCATTGAGTAATTCATTCCTATGGGCAGGTTTGAATGCGCACGCACCTCTGGCCATGCATGCACATTCAGCTACACTATGGAGCTGATGTCGGCGGGGGAGGAGAGGTCACCAGTCTGGCGCTGGATTAAAGGACCACTCTAGGCACCCAGACCACTTCAGCTTTATGAAGTGGTCTGGGTGCCAGGTCCCTCTAGGATTAACCCTTTTTTTTATAAACATAGCAGTTTCAGAGAAACTGCTATATTTATACTGAGGGTTAATCCAGCCTCCAGAGCCTCTAGTGGCTGTCTCATTGACAGCCGCTAGAGGCGCTTGCGTGCTTCTCACTGTGAAAATCACAGTGAGAACACGCAAGCGTCCATAGGAAAGCATTGTAAATGTTTTCCTATGCGACCGGCTGAATGCGCGCGCGGCTCCTGCCGCGCATGCGCATTCAGCCGATGACGTCACGAGCAAGCAGGAGAGGAGGAGTACAGCTCCCCGCCCGGCGCTGGAGAAAGGTAAGTGTTTAACCCCTTCCTCTCTCCAGAGCCCGGTGGGAGGGGGTCCCCGAGGGTGGGGGCACCCTCAGGGCACTATAGTGCCAGGAAAACGAGTATGTTTTCCTGGCACTATAGTGGTCCTTTAAGGTAAGTGGCTGAAGGGGTTTTAATCTCTTCAGCACAGAGAGAGGGGGGCACTCCAAGAGCCCATAGTGCCAGGAAAACGGGTTTGTTTTCCTGGCACTATATGATCCCTTTAAGAACTTCAGTTTTTGAAACTCTTTGCATTCAGTGTTCTCACGCTGAACCTGGCTAATGCTGGTAATAGATATCCCTTGGATTGAGCATTTTACCATGAAAAGAATTGGATTGGATATATATATATATATATTACTGTATCTACCAGCATCACACTTCCCCTTCCTTCTACACTCACCCATCTTTAAACTTTCTTTGAAATGATACCTGTCATGCAACTACCCCCTTAGCATGTATTAATTTCTCTTTGGATTTCATCTATACATTGTTCTAGCCAAAACACTAGAAAGCATATAAATAAAAAAAAAAAAGCACTGGAATCACACTACCGCCGATGTCTGTTGCAGGAGAACAATAGGAAAACTATTTTTAAAAGATTAGATTTCAACATCTGGTTCAATTTAAGACACACATAATACATCCAAACTATGTAGTGCTACAGGAATGAGAAAGATTACAAACTTTGCTTTTAAATACACAGGTTTCTTCTATATCTATATTATACTGCATTTCATAAACCTATGCAGCGTCCCACCCCAGCCAAGCTCTCCAATATAATAATACACCATTCACACAACTTACTGGTTTGTTGGGCTGTTTATCTAATGGCATTTACACATACAGGCATGTACATCAACATGACGTGCTCTTTTTCCTGCACAGATATGGTCTTGAGACTTGAAATAATTTTTGTCTTCTTGTAAAGATACATATTTTGTTTCACAGGAGGCAAGAATAAATGTACCACCATCACACTGAATGTAAGATAGTCTTGAAATTGATTCATCATTTCAGGAAGTGTGAAGGGATGCTGTGTGATTGGCATTCAGGAGAGAAGTGGCTAGGGCTGTAGAACTAGTCATTTAACTTCTAAATGGCAGAGGACTGCGTAGTGAGACTTCAGTGGCATGATCAATGCACCAAAACCACTTTGTTCCACTGACCCTTTAAGATTGTATTTTTTTACGTGTGCATGTGTTTTTTTTTTTGTTGTTTTTTTTTAAATTGTCCCTTTTCTATTTTCTATTTTCATGTCTCAATTTTCTAACACCACACCACTGGAGAGTTGTATCAAGGCAAGACATCTACTATTTTAAGTGGAAATTGTTGGGAGACATTCTATTTGTTTCCTTATTTATTACTCCTCGTTTAGCTCTTTTCCCAAGAATAGCTCATGTTTTTGCCATGATAAAGCTCCCCCTATATTTTAAATTTCTTTCTGATGAAATGGCTGTTTATTGCCAATTACATATTTACTGATGTACTGTGTAGCTGCTATGCCTTCTTCTCTGTTCCAGTTTCAAGCAACATGGAAATTATTTTGCTCTGTTCTTTGACTAGATCCCAAAAGTAGTGATAAAGGTGCACTGTTGGGTTTTGTATGCTGTAAAGTCTGTTGCTCGGTTCTGATATTTTCTGTTTTTAAGCAGCTCTATCTACCTTCTAGGGATATCAAGGCATCCAGAAATGAAGTTAGGGTAACTAAAACAGCACTAACGTTCTGAATTGATAAAACTGCATTACAATACCTGGCATGCATTCTAAGAGTAAATTCCTATTTCTTCATATCTAACTTACAATTCTTTTAAAATGACTACAATCATTCAATCAATGCTAGAAGTATTATTTGTTGATATAAATATTTTAGAACCTGCACTTATTAATGCACTGTCACCTTTCTTTCTAACAGGAACAATATCGTTTCTGCTATGATGTTTCTCTGGAGTACCTTGAATCGTCGTAGTCGAAAGTGCCAATTTAAAGCCCTGTCAATTGCTCCAACAGCGGCCACTCTCTAGCTACAAACAAAATCATTTTTACATGGGACCTTTTAAGTTTTAACAAAGAAAAAAAAAAAAACTATGAACATTATTAACAAAAAAAAGAAAAAAAACTAAAGAAACAAGTATTTTTGTTATGGATTTCTGTATCTTCATAAAGACTTGAGCTGTTTCTATGACTGTATACAGTATTGCTGGATATAGTGCCACTCGATCACAAAATGGGAATTTGAAGCCGGGCAACGTCTCTGCTTGACAAGGATTTGTACGTATTTGTATATGCAGCCGTCTCACGAGACCACTTTCAAGCCAATCTGTTGCATGTAATCTCTATTTACGAAGTGGCAGTTTTCTCTCTTTTATTATGAATATTTTTTTTTACATAAAAAGTTGTTACAAAAAAAAAAATACACTAAATAAACTTGTGCAGATTGCTAGCAAATGCATTCTTCTATACATTTCAAGTGCGCCAATGATCTGTACCCGGGCTTATGTTTTTTTGTTTTTGTTTCTTTGTACATTGATGGCTGGATCATATATATATATAGTTATACATTCTTTTCACAGAATCCCAGACATAAGCCAAAGAGTCAGTTGTAAATATGTCAATATGGAGAAAGCACACTCTGTATTTATTGCTTATTTACATTCCTTCTTTTCAATGACTTAGGATACATGTTTGTTTTTATTTTATCCTGAGAGAAGCTTTATCTGAAACTGACGGTTTATTTTTTTATGTATCGCTTGTAAGTGCAAGGCCTCCATTTCCTGCATTAACCCTCACTGTTTAGAGGTGTTTTGTTGTATTCATGATTGTGAACAAAGTATATGTAAATTGGTTTGGTTTGGGACCGTTTTTTACCTTTCAGTATCAAGGCACGGTTAACACCTAACAATGATATGGCTAATCTTATGGATTGTAATTCCTGAAGTCCTAAAGTATCTGCCAGTCAAAGTTAGCCATCGCTGCCTTGTGATGTAATTCATTACACTATCTTTGGAGATGAGCAACTGCAGGCAAGAAAGTTGATATGTAAGTAGCAGGACCATTTCTTGCCACAGTTGTACTCCACAGCACTTTTGAGGCACTTGCTCTTGAAGTAGGAATTCAAAAGGTTAAAGACAGGACCAAACTGACAACTATTTTTTTAACCTGCAAATAGTAACTATGGATTTAATGAAGGTGGTAAATACCACATGGAAAAGTAATGCTTATACAACTTAACCCTGGTTAGTTTAAAACAAAATAATAAAACACAATCTGCAACATGGTGACAGAGGAAGGTAGCGCTTGAACAATACATTGTAACAAATTGTCTCTGTTGATGTTTTCAGACTTTGTAAGCTTTGGGCAATCTGCAAAACCGAATCAAATAAATAAATGCCAGATTCCAGGTGTGGTGTGACTTGTTCTGTGATTCCCACAGTTAACTATAACATGCTTTCTTTTTCTTTGTATTCTATATTATGTTGTAGAGTTGGGCTGGGCAGATTCTTTGTAATATACAGATTTAAGGAATGATATTTACGAAGGGAGACTAATGAATATCATAAAGAGAGGTTTTAAGGGGACACTATAGGCACCCTGGCCACTTAATCTCAATGAAGTGGTCTGGGTGAAATGTCCCTGTTCCCATAGCCTTGCACTGGAAACATTGCAGTTTTAGATAAATTACAATGTTTACATTGCAAGGTTAAAACAACCTCTAGCGCTGTCTTGGAGACAGCCACTAGAGGTGTTTCAAGCATCGTTTTATGGAGTTAAACTATGTGAAACTGCAGGAAGTCCTCAAGCTGTGCATGAGAATATCCAGTGTCTTTAGAAGCCCCATTAGAAAGAATTGATGCCTTTGTGGTCTGATGCACGCTGACGTCCGAGGGACATCGGAAATTGAGTCAGGTAAGTGAGTAAAAGGGTTTTTAACCATTTCATAGAAGGGGGAGACTGGGGCAGAGAGCTGTAGAGGCAGAAGGACAATGGTGTAAGGAATAAAGTTTTACAATTCCTTTCAGGGATTTCTTAAAAAATTGGAGACCTGAGGAAAGTCTGATGGGGAGGTAGGCTGTTCCATAGGAATGAAGCTGCCCAGGAGAAACCCTGTATGTCTGCATGCAGTGGACAGAAAGCCACTGGGTGAGCGAAGAATTTTGTAGGTTAGAGGTAATATTTTTAATTGAATCCTAAAGGACATAGGAAGCCAATGATAGTCCGTGGGTTGAGATGTAATAGAAGTGACGAGAGAAAAATAAGGCTGTTATTTAGGACTGTAGAGCAACAGTATTAGAATAGTGGTTGATGCAAAAACAATGACAAAATGGGTGAACAGACTCCTTAGTAGCGTCTTGTGTAAGAAAGGGGCGGATGCATGCAAGCAATGTTTTTAGGGTGAACTTGTCAGGATTTGTCAACAGGCTAGATAGAAGGTGTATATGTGAATCTAAATTCAAAGCTAACCTCAAAGCAGATAGCGAGATAGCTTAAGATTAGCAATATAAGAAGGATAAGTAAAGAAGCTTTGTTGGTGTCACGAACGTGTGCCATTGGCCCAGCCGAGACAGTGGGCAGAGTGTCGAAGTGAAAGGGTTAACGACAATAGACCCCTGGTTACCTGTTGCTAGTCCCAGCAACCCCAAATTAACCCCTGCAATGCCTTCTTCACTAACACCCTAGTACACACTTTACTGCCACCACCAACATTTTATATCCGGGCATCTTGGGTTACCCCACACAGAGTAGAATTATAGTATCACAACCTTACTGTGACAGAATAGACATTTACCAGCTACTTTTATTCCCTTTACTGGCTGGTCGTACTCCCTCCCCCCTTACAGTACTATGTCTTTTCCCCTGTTATTTTGTGTGGTTCGGGAGACTTCATACGAACAGAATCCATTTGTCTCCCAAACGAGGACCACCCCTGTGCACCATTAGAACATTGACACCAGCCACTTAAGTTTGAAAACAATTGAGTGCTTTCCCTGGGTGACCGCCATGTCGTATAACCGAACACGTTACAGAGAGAATGGCTGCCATCTTGTCTCCTGAACGAGGGGCAGCAGTACTTAGTCGTTGAGTGCCTGGAACTCTTTTCGACCAAGCACTCACGTGAACACCGGTAAACTATAGACCGCTGCCCGTTCCTGTTCCTGAACACCTACACAAATGGCATTTGGGAGATATACACTACCGAACAGGGGGAGCATTGGGACCCTGTAAGCTGGAGATTCCCTTGCATGGTGTTCGCACAGGAACCTTACAAACAGACACCGGCCAGGACAACTATTTCTCTGGAACTATTTTGGGTTAGCGCCTAGTATCTGGCCGGTCAAAACTTCACCACAATGGCATACCCGTTCTACAAAACCAATCTGAGTGATTCTTGGATATACAAGAAAAAATACAAAGATGAGTGAAAAGCAACCCTCAAAACTAGTACCCCAAAGAGAGCAATATAAGAAAATTTGCAAACAATTGTGTATCAGACAAAATACAAAAAAATAATAAAATTTTATTAGTAATTCGAAAAAATCCAGATACCACATGTCTAGAAAACACCAGACAGCTTAAAATAAAGGTGGAGGGACACCAAGGGAAAATGTTCCAGTTTAAATAGATACAAATTAGTAAACTTGATACTAGATGAGTAGATTATCTCACTTACAAAGTAGCAAAAGATATAGCTACTAAAGAGTGTAGCAGTGTATATGAAAAAAGGTATCCATATAGTTTACATATAGCAAAATATAGCTGGAATAAATTCAGGGTCCTCCAAACCAATGAAATGTTAAACGTCTATAAATGAATCCCGCCCTCTCCTCTCTCCTCCTCATTTTGGTATACCAGCGGAGGAGAGTCCTGGCTAGGACTAGCGCTCCACTACACTTACTTTACTGATAAGACATATATAAATAACCCTTTGGTAACTTGTTTACCTGAGCTTTCCTCAGGAGAGTGGACTCATAGAGAACAAAGACACAAGCTGATTAAGTAAACATTTAATCTGAAAAAAGGGTTCACAGTGTTGTGTACAAATATACAGAAATAAATGACATACAGAAACACCGATAAATTTCAAAACATTCCATAAAATAGAAAACACAAGAAATCCTTACATATATTTACCGCTTCTATATAATTCTTGTGGGAGATGCAAATGTAACAGGTCTACAAGTAGTTCTCAAAAAGTAAACTCTCTGGATAATCCAACATTCTCATTATATACACTGCTCAAAAAAATAAAGGGAACACTTAACACAATGTAACTCCAAGTCAATCACACTTCTGTGAAATCAAACTGTTCACTTAGGAAGCAACACTGAGTGATAATCAATTTCATATTCTGTTGTGCAAATGGGATAGACAACAGGTGGAAATTATAGGCAATTAGCAAGACACCCCCAATAAAGGAGTGGTTCTGCAGGTGGTGACCACAGACCACTTCTCAGTTCCTATGCTTCCTGGCTGATGTTTTGGTCCCTTTTGTATGCTGTAAGTGCTTTCACTCTAGTGGTAGCATGAGACGGAGTCTACAACCCACACAAGTGGCTCAGATAGTGCAGCTCATCCAGGATGGCACATCAATGCGAGCTGTGGCAAGAAGGTTTGTGGTGTCTGTCAGCGTAGTGTCCAGAGCATGGAGGTGCTACCAGGAGACAGGCCAGTACACCAGGAGACGTGGAGGAGGCCGTAGGAGGGCAACAACCCAGCAGCAGGACCGCTACCTCCGCCTTTGTGCAAGGAGGAACAGGAGGAGCACTGCCAGAGCCCTGCAAAATGACCTCTAGCAGGCCACAAATGTGCAAGTGTCTGCTCAAACGTTCAGAAACAGACTCCATGAGGGTGTTATGAGAGCCTGACGTCCACAGGTGGGGGTTGTGCTTACAGCCCAACACCGTGCAGGACGTTTGGCATTTGCCAGAGAACACCAAGATTGGCAAATTCGCCACTGGAGCCCTGTGCTCTTCGCATATGAAAGCAGATTCACACTGAGCACATGTGATAGACGTGGCCGAGTCTGGAGACGCTGTGGAGAACGTTCTGCTGCCTGCAACATCCTCCAGCATGACCGGTTTGGCAGTGAGTCAGTAATTGTGTGGGGTGGCATTTCTTTGGGGGCCGCACAGCCCTCCATGTGCTCGCCAGGCATAGCCTGACTGCCATTAGGTACCAAGATGAGATCCTCAGACCCCTTGTGAGACCATATGCTGGTGCGGTTGGCCCTGGGTTCCTCCTAATGCAAGACAATGCTAGACCTCATGTGGCTGGAGTGTGTCAGCAGTTTCTGCAAAAGACAAAGGCATTGATGCTATGGACTGGCCCGCCCGTTCTCCAGACCTGAATCCAATTGAGCACATCTGGGACATCATGTCTCGCTCCATCCACCAACGTCACGTTGCACCACAGACTGTCCAGGAGTTGGCAGATGCTTTAGTCCAGGTCTGGGAGGAGATCCCTCAGGAGACTATCTGCCACCTCATCAGGAGCATGCAGAGGCGTTGTAAGGAGGTCATACAGGCACGTGGAGGCCACATACACTACTGAGCCTCATTTTGACTTGTTTTGAGGACATTACATCAAAGTTGGATCAGCCTGTAGTGTGTTTTTCCACTTTAATTTTGATTACGATTCCAAATCCAGACCTCCATGGGTTGAAAAATTTGATTTCCATTTTTTAATTTTTGTGTGATTTTTGTTGTCAGCACATTCAACTATGTAAAGAACAAAGTATTTCAGAAGAATATTTAATTCATTCAGATCTAGGATGTGTTATTTTTGTGTTCCCTTTATTTTTTTGAGCAGTGTAGTTTAAACTAGTTGGTTCTAAGTGGCCAGACCTCTGAGTGGATCAGGGGGGTTTGGCATGGCAGTTTATTGTCCACTCCATATTTTCTTAAATTATGTCCTTTGAATAACCCAAGGTTAGAGCATATGCACCAATAGCTTTTATGACACCCTATGTCCAGCTCTGGTGATGGTTATCTAAACGTTACAGTTCATGGGTTAGGCCTGGTGATAGATCAAAGCCTACAATAAATGTTATCCCAAAGTATACAAAAACAACTCATAACACATATCCCATGCTAACTCATGCTTTGGCATGACAGTGGGCGACTGAAGAGATGCAGCAGGATAACAGGAGAGAGTTTTGGTGAAGAGAGGTATTGAGTAGTACTAGTGTTCATATATGTTGGATATAAATACATTTTATTTTATTTTTTAAATAACACCTCTGTTATCCAATATAATTTATGGATTTTTATAGAGAACAAAAAAAGTTTCAAAGAGTGTCCAGTGATTTGCAGTCACTATCCTCCCACTGTATTGGAAAGGTCTAATAAAACCATTAAAGGAACGCTATATGGTCAGGAGCACAAACATGCATTCCTGACCCTATAGTGTTAAAAACACCATTTTAGGTGGCTTGTCCCCACCCCCCACCCGCTGCCTCCTTAGAAAGGGTTATATTTTACTTTATTTCTAGGTCACCAGAGGTCCTGACCCCAAGCCACCTCTTTGGCTGACATCATCAGAATCTAATGCTTTCCCACAGGGGATCATCAGTGAGGTGGGGCCGAACTTCTCCCTAGCCAATCAGCATCTCCTCCATGAGGAAAGTTCAGCTTGTTCATGCAGAGCTGCCCCAGGAAGCACCTCTTATAGCCATCTACAGAGTGGAGGTGTCCCTAGGCTGTAATGTAAACACTGCCTTTTTTCTGAAAAGACTGCGTTGGCAACAAAAACTTGCAGGGACTGACTATACTGACCAAAACAACTACATTAAACGGCAGTTGTTCTGGTGACTATAGTGTCCTTTTAACTAGTTAACAACATTGTGACATGTCAGTATTCCCTAACACTGGGCTTTCATGGGATTAGGGTGTACTGACTTGTCTTGCACTTTTGATGTGAGCACGGATAACCCCCCACGGTTTCTTGGAGGAGACAGGGCACTACTGTGTCGGCTTAGGTTGCTTTAGGATGGGAGATCATTCGCCTCTCACCTTATATATGTATTTTTTTGTGGTAAATTTAAAATTAGTAGAGAAATATTATGAACTGCATAAGGGTAGGGGGAGAAGGGAGATGAGGAGACTTTGTTCCCTTCATTCTTGCCTACAGTCACCAGGAATGTTAAGTAGCAAAATCAGGGGAAGGGTGCATAATTCATTGTTGCACTATAGAATATTGCCATTCCATTTAATGTAATTTGTGTAGTGCATATATGAATTGGCCACTTGGTTGCAAGGTCAGATGACAGAAGGGATAATGTAAATGGTATAGGAATGTAAAAGGGGGCAGATGGTTTGCAACATGGATGGATTCTTTGATTAATCAAAGGCTCTGCAGGGTGTAAGGTTCTACACAGGAGAAGCCTGGATATCTAGTTCCAAGCTCTGCAGGGTGTGAGATTTTACACTTGAGATGCCTGAATGTCTAGTTCTGATGTTCGCTAGCTCACTTCAGCCATATGGTCTCTGCCTCTTAATTGATTAGTTAATTTCTTTGATATGTTAATGCTCATTAGCCTTGTGTTCAAGTATCATATCCAAAAGAAACATTAAGATGTACCCACAGAAAATAATTCAGCCTCATTTTTATTATATTTAGAATGGGACAAGCACCATCTTCTAAACAAGCCCAAACATACTTAACATAACTTAACCATATGAGAAGGGATTGGGATATCCGCTATATTGGGTCACAAGTAAGAATTGTGACATATCTATGAAATGGAAAAATGGTAACAAATTCATAGATGCAATTATTATTTCTGTGGCAAGTACAAAAAAGAGGAGATCGAAGATAAAGTTTCTACCCATTGTACAGCGCTATGGAATTTGCTGGCGCTATATAAATAAAATAATAATAAATTTGGATTGATGTGGGTCTGGAACACAAGGGGGTGGTCACTTATTGTCTCTATAGATATGCCTTAACTCCACCTCTAGGCCAGGCTTGGTGATCCACAGGGTATATATCCAATGATACTGAAATGTGTATTGGACTTGCTTGGGGGTCAGAAACTAATTCTGAGTGAGTCACCATCTTACCAGAAACCCTCTGGACAGAAGTGTTTAGGACTTCTGTTATTTTATCCCTTTTATTTTTATCTGTTGTTGGTGTAACTAATTTGATTGTCATCTATATTTTTGTATGCACTGTGACTATTTGCTCATAATAAATATTCCTTTATTAAGTTCTGCCTTTGTCTGGTAAATAATAACCTAACCTGAAGAGACTAATTAGTATTTTGCAATTGTTTCAATATTGTGCTAAGTTATATTTGGTGGGTTTTATTATTAAGTTACCTGGGGGACCAAAGCACCCCATTTATAAATTGTCTTGGCAGTGCTAAAATAGTAATATTTATATTATTGTGGCGTTAAGTGGGATTTTATCATTATTTCCGGTCTAGTGCAGACAGTGAACTATAACCGTTTAATCACCACAACTACGTCACACACACTCTTGAAATAGGGTGCATTCGTGATAAAGGGTATTTGTGTCTGGGTGCCTTGAGCTACGAATCAAAGTACTGAAAAAAGACAGAGGAGCCTTGGAGAGTAGATATATTTTCCATTGTAAGGTGGTGTATTCACTTTTGTACTGGCAGTACTCTACCAAATATTTTTTTATGAACATAATGAAATACATAGTTTCAGTAGAATTTAATGAGACCCATATACACAGGGCAGTAACTAGTACAAGGAAGTTTATTGTTAGATTATGTGTGTTTTCTTTTATGTGTTCCCATGGTGTCATGTACAGTCATGGGAAAAAGAAAGTACACCCTCTTAGAATTCTATGGTTTTACATATCAGGACGTAACCATAATCTGTTACTTAGCAGGTTTTAAAATTAGGTAAATACAACCTCAAACAAATACAACATCTGACTAGTGATGTTGCGAACCGTTCTCGAACTTGCCGCGAACGGTTCGTGGCGAACTCCGGTCAGCTGACACATCCCTGCCAATCTCCGGCAGACCCTCCCTCCCAGACCCTCCTACTTCCTGGACAGCATCCATGTTGAAGGCAGCTTCAACATGGATGCTGTCCAGGAGGTGGGAGGATCTGGGAGGGAGCGTCTGCCGCAGATTGGCAGGGATGTGTCAGCTGACCGGAGGAATGGTTCGTGGCAAGTTCACGAACGGTTCGCAACATCACTACTAGGGACTATTTGTCTTATGGAGGTTTCCTATGCCTGACCAGCTATGACCAGCAGAGGAGCAAAGTGTGCTTCATGGTCAGAGAAATTTTCCCACAATTCTTACCTTTCCTCCGTGTTCCCATGATGCTTCCTTTCACTTTTCCCGAACATCCTGTCATTTAGACAGAACGCCGACGAAACTGCAGAATTGCATCCTAACAGAATAAGAACAGTTTCGCAGAGACGCATTTCGGGACTTTGTTCGTATCGGAATTTCATTCGAATGAATGAAACTCCAATCCTATTCGTGCCGCAGCTGCATCTTGCAGCCGATAACTCCCTAATTCCCACGGTGTTAGGGAGCTATCTACCAAAAGGCTGAAAGACCTAAATTGGTCTTTTGGCCAAATTTATTAATACTAAGTAAAAATTACTTAGTGTTAGTAAATTCTGCCCCTACTCGCTATACTGTTAAAAAAACCAAACACATAACCTTAGTTTCCCCCTTCCCGAGCCCCCACCTGTGCCACGCGAGTGTGTGCTATTAAACTGAAGGGGGGACAAAGAGCTCCCCAGACCCCACCCCTGAGCGGCGGGTGGGGGCCCTAAATAACAATGAGTGGGGGGCACCTATTGTCCTCCCCCCGGCCCCCACCTATGAGCAACGGGTGGGGGCCCTAAATAACAATAGAGGGGGCACCTATAGTCCCTACCCCTGAGCGGCAGGTGGGGGCCATAAAAACAATGAGGAGGGATGGACCTATTGTCCTCCCCCTGGGGACCCTAAATGAGAATGAAGGGGACCTATTGTCCTCCACCCCAGCCCCCACCCCTGAGCGCCAGGTTGGGGCCCTAAATGAGAATGGGGGGGGCGACCAATTGCTATTTAGGGCCCCCACCCGCCGCTCAGGGGTGGGGGACAGAGGGGAGGACAATAGGTCCCCTCCATTGTTTTTATGGCCCCCACCTGCTGCTCAGGGGTGGGGGCAGGCGGGGAGGGCAATAGGTCCCCCCCTCTTTGCTATTTATGGCCCCAACCCGCCGCTCGTGGTTGGGAAAAAAAGCCCCCCCTCCCCCTTTTTTTTACAACAGGGGTCAATTAGATGTAGTAGAGTCGGGGGGGGGGGTTAAAAAAAAACTAAAACGGGATTCGGCCATGACAGTGCTGCTTTAAGGTAAATAGCTGGGAGTTGGGCGGAGATTTAGAGATAGTAAAATGACAACATATGTGCTCGTTTGTGTTACTTATTAGGTTTGTGGTAAGTTAGCCGTGTTTGAATGCCTGCTTAATTTGTGGCTAATGTAGGATAATGCAGATATGTGGACAAAGAATGTTCCACCCTCAAATGGTTATGGTGGCACTTAGAACAGGAAGTAAGAAAATGGATTTATATTATCTGCACTTTTCTCATCTTCCTGCTGGTTTTATCTCTCTCTCTCTGTTGATACTGTCCACTGATATAATAATATGTATAGCTCTTTTCTCACCAATAGACGTGCACACTTGACCTCAGTTTATCAGCTGCCTGTTATGTTTTCTACCCAATCCTTTTACTTCATATCCAGGGAATTGTAGCTTTACCCAGCATTTGTACTCACTGATTTCCACTCCCATATCAATAATTTCCTTTTATCGTTTTTATTTATTTACTACTGTTATAGCGTGGCTGCACTCAGCCATCATTTGATCTAAAAGTGTACAATATATCATGTCACTCATCATCAGTGGGGATCAACGAGGCTATTAAAGGAATGTTATTTAATTAAGTGAGAATTCAAAGTGAATTTAAAATTTAAGGGCTGAGTAATTAAACTCAAAGCATAGAAAATGTTCCAGGTCAGCTAGTTTAACCTTAAATTGTACATTCACTTTCTATTGTCACTTTAATAAGTAACCCTGTAAATCAAGGCCAATCTAAGAGCACATAAGCTAGAATTTCTGATTGGTGAAGCTAATTTCAGATTTTTTTTTTATTGTTCTTAAATTGTATTTTTAAGATATTTTGTGATGCTTTAAAAATGAGGCATCCATTTTTCTCTATTACAATCCTTTAATAGCCACGTTGATCCCCACTAATGATGAGTGACAAGCACATTATCCTGATGGAGGTATTCATTTAAAAATGAGTAGACTGCGGACACCTACAATGTACATGGCTGGCAGCAATGCTTCAGTAAACTGTGGCGTTTGAGATACGTTATTATAGTTTTCCATTAGTGCATTAAAATAAAATATCCTCAAAACAAATTCTTACTTCTGCTGATTTGGATGACTTCTCGTGTACATAGAATTTCTTTATAGAATTTTTTTTTTTTTTTACAAAATGGGAAGGTGCACAATACATTTAAGAAACTTGATATGTCCACAAACAATAACATGTAATTTGGAGTTTTGCCCCTTGTACATGGCAATAATGGTGCTGATATTGTTTCTAGACATGCTTAAAATAAAGGCTGTTTTACTATTTTTATTTTTTATTGTGTATATGAGGGTTATTTTCTTTAGTGAAAAGCCAATAGGAAATTCAAACTTAACACCAGAGTTGCCAAACTAGGAGCATAACTGTTTTAAAGAATGTTTCCAGTACATTTACTTTGATCTTAAAATTTTAATTCACTTGGAATTCTAACTTTAATGACTAGCCCTGCATGTCTATAATTTAGAATAATACTGACATTTAATAAACTTGAGCAAGGGCATATGTTGGGGGAAGATTGCTCTGCTCTTCTGTAAACACACAGATAAATCCTTGAGTGTGATCTATAGACCGCTACTTGCTGTCATTTTATAAAATTCAGCTGTTTACTTTGAGAAAACTTATTCCTGTTAACTTAAAGTATCTAAGTCGTGGATGATGGGCTCATAAACCGGCATTCTATCAGTTCTTTCCGTGAATCATAAAATGTTCTCAAATGTCAGGCACATGTTGATGGGATATGGTGAGATAGAGAAGGATATCCTTGCTAAGGCTCAATTTAAAAGCAAACCTTTTAGTCTTCTTTCTAGATAAGTCACATAGCGATTGCATAGAATGACAGGGATTACTTTTAGAGTGCGATAACTATAATCCAAGAAGAAATCAAGAGGGACTGAGGATGCTTTTCTCGTAACAAAAACATGTCAAAATATGTATAGCAGCAGGCAAGAAACCTCTATTAGCTCTGGAAAAGATTGGTTCGTATTCACTAAGCAGTGAATGGAAAACTGAATTGCAATGCTTGGCCAAATAAAATGCAGTGGAAAAAATAAAATTCAACTAGTTTTTCAAATGTGCCTTTTTTGGAACACAAAGTAATAATGTTAAGTGAATAAATGTTGTTTTTCATCTAAACACATGTTTTGCCAGAGTTGAAAATGCTCATGAACCCCCCAAAAAATGAGTGCACTGCACAAGCACGTGTAGACACACTTTTTATAAATGCATATACAGCAACATGTATATTATTGGAACACTATAAAATCCTAACAATTACATTACACATTGCTAGTGCACAATACATGTCTCACAAGCCCAAATCATTTGCATCAGGGCCAGATTAAGAGCCCAGTGGGCCTGGTGCTCAAAATTATGATGGGCCTAATTACAAAATCTTATCGACCAAAAACACTAAAAGAGTCCTACCTCCCAAGTGTCATGTATACGATGGAGATGGTCAGTGGCGTACACACAATCCATGGGGCCTCCTTCCTTCTCTCCCTCTTCCCCCCTCCCTCTCAGTCCTCACCCTCCCCCACACACACACATACATACACACAGACACATACAGACACACACTCACAATACATTCATAATACAAAGACGCATACAGACACATATATACATACAAACAGACAGGCTCACATACAGACAGACATACACAGACACACAGACAGACACATACATACAGACACATACACAGATACATACAAACACACACATATACAAAATGTTTAAGTCACCCTCCTGTTTCCTACCGTTTAGGGTTACTTTCCCTGGGGTCCAGTGCTGGCTCAGGATGCTGGTAGTCAGAGTTCCCACTCTGACTCCCTCTCCTTCCTCCAGTGAGGCTCTCCGATAGCTGGGAGGAATGACCGAGGCAGTCTCTTTCTCCAGCAGTCATATATCATCACAGGGGGCCTGGTCGTGCTTTTAAAGCGCTGCAGTGCTGACTGGGCCCCCTTGAAATCCATACCCATTGGTTGGCCCTAACAGCATAAGCCACCAGATGGGCTTCTTGAACATGCGGCAAAACATGGTGGCTGGTACCCGGTCGCAGGGATCCGCAGGGCGGCTGGGCCCCCTGGAGTGACTGGCCCGGTCGCAGCTGTGACCCCTGCTACCCCTATATGTATGCCACTGGAGATGGTGCTGGAGGGAAACTCATAGGATGCAGCTATGAGAGAACACGTACCCTATGCTAAACTCACGCTCTCATCTTTCAAGTAAATCCATACCCCCTAACAGCAGTGTCCAGTAAAGCAGGAAATCTATGGATGGGGTAAAAGGGTAGGGCCACTGAGACACTTGAGGACACTGGGAGACATAGGGGACACTGGAGACTTGATAAAGACCTGGGTACAGGTCAAAACATTGCGATGTCCAAAAAACCTGCTTAAATCTATCACACTGAGTGTCTGAGATTTTTTTCTTTTATACTAGGGGACACTGAGACATGGGGACACTGGGAGACTAGGGGACACTGGGAGACTAGGGGACACTGAGAGACACCAGGGACACTGGGAGACATGGGGCACTGAGACACTGTTATACATAGGGGACACTGGAGACTTTATAAAGACCTGGTAGGTTGAAACATTGTGGTGTCCAATTAACCTGCTTAAATCTATCACAGTGAGTGGCTATGATTTTTTCTTTTATACTGGGGGACATTGAGACACTGATAGACATGGGGACTTTGGGAGACTAGGAAACACTAGGGACACTGGCACACTCTGGACACTGAGATACACCAGGGGCATTGGGAGACATGG